AGCAATTCTCCTCCAAATGGGCGGAAAGTCTGATGCCTCCAGCACCACTAATCACCTTTTGTGAGCAGCCTTCAGCAAGCCAGACCAGATGTTTAATCACATTTGCAAATAAGAAAAGGCTGAAATATGGCTATTTTAAAGCTTTATCCAAGCAAAACAATTTTTAAGTGCCACATGGGCCTTCCAAATTGGGGTGGGTGGGAGTTTGGCTTAGCTCCCACCGCTTGGGCACAGGGACAAGCCTTGGTGCCGCCCCATCCCAGGCACTCATCCCATGGCCACGTTTCTGGTGCCCTTGCTCTGATCCCTCTCCGACACAGAGCCCCTTACTCTCTGGCAGATTTAATCGAGTTGATGATGATTCAAAATTCCCAAATGCACCAGGTGGTGATGAACAGCCTGGCTGTGTCGGCACTGACGTCCTTCGGGTTTGGACCATCCCCAGCTGCTGCCCAGGTAAGGGTCAGGGATGCTTGATGGGCAAAGGATCAAGGACCAAAGGACCAAAAGGACCAAAGAGATGGGCACAGGGACCTTTCCAGAGCTGCTCAGGAGAGCAGGGTGCCCATGTCCTGCTTTGGCACAGCGTGAGACCCCTCCAGGTGCAGAAGCTGGGTGGTCTCAGCCCATCTCAGCCCAGGTTCTGCAGCCCCTTGGGGTTTTGGGGCTCTTTGTGCTTGTTTGACCCCGAGCTCTGCCAGCACAGATCACATCCAGCCTGCTTGGAGGTGATTTAGCCGAGCCAGGAAGAGCCAGGACCCTCCCTGTGTGCTGCGGCACAGGCAGGGTGCAGCGCTGGGCTGTGGCGGCCGAGTAGCGAGGCTGAGCACTATTCATTAGGCAGGATGGCTCTGCAAGGGCTTTCATTTAAAAGTCCATCTTGAACAAAAATCATATTAAACATTTCATCTCCGTGGGCAGGGGGAACAACTGCTGCTTTCTCGGCAGGTGTGAGAGCTGGGCCAAGGGCAGCTGCCTTGCTCGCTGCCAGCTGGCATCTCTAGGCGTGCATCCTCCTGTGCTGCACACCCAGCACCCACCAGCTCACCACGCTGGCCAAGACCGGACCCTGCCTGTCACATCTCAGCAGCTGGATCAAATGGGCTCTTCCCAGCAGCGTTTTGAGGTCCCATCTGTGGGGCTGCCACCTCCCTGTGTCCCCAGCAGCTGGGTTCCCATGCTGGCTGACCATGGGGCTTTGTGTGGGATTGAGCCCACCCAGCTGGACCACGGGAGAGCCGCACCATGCTGGCGGCATCTCAGCCAAGCACGGCTCTATGGGAACTCTCTCGCTGGTCCTTTGGGGAGTAGTGCCCCGGGGAGATGGCTGCCAAAAGGGGCCTGGAACAGCCCTGCCTTTTGTTCCTCCCCACAGGCGACGGTGGTGCCTTTGCAGACCGGAGAGGAAGAGGAGGCTGTGGTTTTCCACCATCACTACATCCCCTACCCTGGTCCTGCTCCTATCCTGGCATGGCCGGTCCCGGTGTGGGATTGGGGGCCGGCGGCCATGCGGTACCTGGGCACAGACTTACCAGCTGAAGATGGGGAGGTGTGAGTAACGAGGGTGCTGCTTTGTGGCACCCAGCACAGGGCTGCATGTGTGTCCCTGCAGCCCCTGGTGTAACAGGACTTCCAGCCCAAGCTGGGACACAAGGAGCAATACTAGGCCAGCACTCACTCCTGTCCTTGCTCCTCTCCAGCAACGCAGTGCCCCCCCCTCCACCCCCCAGCGCCACAGGGACCGTGGGAGCCAACGTCCCACCAGCATCGGGTAAGGACACGTTCTCCCCATGTCCCTCAGTGAGGGACATCTTGCCCTCGTGTGTGCATCAACCGGGCAGCCCCCAGTCAAAGGCTGAGCCCTCTCTGTTCCCTCCATCCATTGGGTCCTGGAGGTGGCCCTTGCACGTCCTCCAGGTCCCCTTTTCTCTCCGCAGAGTACTACGATGTGATGGAGGAGAGGCTGTGAGCTCCATGCTTCCCAGAATGGTTTCTTCTGCACATCCCAGCCCTCGACCCCAGAAAATCCTGCAGGTGCTGAGCACAGATGCTCCATGATACCACAGTTTCAGGGTGGTCCCGTATTTTGTATTTTGCTGGGCACGCTGGCTTCCTCCCCGTGGGCCACCCCGAGGCAGGGGGTGTCATGAAGCCTGTCACCAAACCTAGGTGACAACGTGACCCCAAACAGGGACTGGTTTTGTCCCCATGCTCTGCAGAGGGCTTGTCCCCCCAGCAGGTTAGTGGTGACATCCCAATCCCGGCTGCACAACGTGTCCCTGCCAAGCCATGAGGACTCTGCAGCATGAGCTACGCTGTGTCCCCGTGGGTGGGTGATGCCAGCCCAGGTGGCCCTGGTCTTCATTAGTCCCTTCAGATCTCAATGCAGCACATTGCCTGTAATTAATTTGCTTTGTTAAGAAAGCACCCTGCTGTCACTAATTAAGCTTCTGTAATTATCCAGACTGCTGGCTTTGTGCCTGAGTGCAGGGCTCCCCCCAAGCTGGGGGGGCACGAGCATCTTGCACCCGGGGGGGGGCGGTACATCAGTGCCTGATGCAGGTGCTGGGGCAATATAGGGAGTTGCTGATGGGTGGTGCTGGGAAGCAGAGTGGGATGCTCCTGGCTGAGCACGGCATGGGGAGAGCTGGATCTGGCCTGCAGCTTGTTCCTGGTGGGGATGTGGTCAAGGCAGCAGCCTGATAAAGGGGATGCAGCATGGGTGAGTATGGGGTTCCCTAGGACTCAGTGTCCCCTCTGCTCACCAGGAAAAAAGGAGGCAGATGCATTTTGGGTACTGGAAGCTGTCCCCTACCCTACCTGGGGGTGCCAGCCCTGCTTTGACTCCGGGGGGGTTACAGGCCAGTTACCAGGAGGCTTTGCCTTAAGAGCAGAGCTCCTAGCAGGAGACTTCAGGGCTGGTGGTCATCTGGAGCTTGCAGCATGCAGAAAGATGGTGCCCAGGCAGTTGCACCTTAAATCCTCTTCTTCTGCTCCCATCGGGCACAAGGACCGCCCTATCTCTCTTCTGGGGTCCCTATGGAAAGGAAGGCTCATCGTCCCCGAGCCCAGGACTGAGCTGTGCTCTGGCACAGGCAGATCTTCCCTTGCAGCAAAGCTCAGCCTGGCTCCCGCAGCCTGGCTCCGGCTGAAGCTGGAGAAGCAGCTCCTCGATGTGGAGCAAAGGAGCCACGCTGGGTTGCGGCATGAAGGCACATCTCCAGCTGGGAGCACCCCGAGAGGCTGCGAGACTGGCTGGGCAGAGCAGCAGGAGCAGAAGTGAAGGAGATTGTCTAAAAGCTGAGCTGAGTTTGATGGGAAACCAGGCTGGTGCACAAAGGTTTCCATAACCATATAGACAGAAAGGGAAGGAGGAGAGGAGTTGCCTGGGGATGGGGTGGACAGGAAGAGTGGGCTCAAGATATGGCCCAATCTTAGCCTGAATATGAGAATGAGAGGAATGGGAGGATGAAGCAATGGGGATTGCAACACCCATGGTGGAAGCAACCTTTGGAGTTCTCTCTGCGTCACACTTGTTGAACCAGGGCACCCTTCAGCTGGCAGCATGGAGAGCATCGCACAGCCAGGAGCCCAAAGGCACCTGCTTGCACCCACATCAGCAGGGACAGGGAGAAGGTGTGGGAGGAAGGAGCAGCCATGGGCACGGAGGGGACCAGAGCAGGGGAGATGTGGAGTGGTTTTGCCGAAGGCAGGCTGTGTCAGATGAAGGGCAGGGCTGCTGGGTTTGACCCAGGTGATGTGATGCCTCTCCCCAGCACTGTGTAACGGGACTGTTTGCCCCAGAGCCCCGGTGGGGTTGTTACGGGAAGGCGTGAGTGGAGTTCGCTGCTGGCAGGCTCCTGCCCCAAGGGTCAGAGGGGAACTGATGGGTCTGGGCATGCGGATGTCCCTGGCAGGCCTTGGGACATGGAACAGCCGGGCTGGGGGATGCTGCTGGTGGCTGAGACCAGGCCAGAGTTATCTCTGCAATGACAAGTGCTTGCTTTTTAAAAGCAAGACCATAGTTTCTGCAGGGCAATCCAGAGTTGGCCTGGATCCTGCGTGCCCACTGTGAAAGCAACAGAGCCGGAGGAGAGGCTAATTACAGCCCTGTGCGTGTTACTGCACCTATGCAAACATCTAACTCAGTGCAGCCCTTGGCTGCCAGCTGGGGCCAGGGCTGTCATCTCCTTCTGCTGAGGGTGGGAGAGGGGAGGGGGGTGGCAGAGCTCAGACCCCTGTGGCATTGCTTGGACCTTGGTGACTGCTGTGGTTTAACCTGGCAGGCAGCTAAACACCACACGGCCGTCCCCAGTGGGGTGGGGGAGAGAATTGGGGTGGGGGGTGGCGGAAAGTAAAGTTTGTGGGTTGAGATAAAGACCGTTTAATAGGACAGGAAAGGAAGGGAAAATAATAATATACAAAGTGATGCATAAAGCAATTGCTCACCACTCACTCACTGGTGCCCAGCCCGTCCCCGAGCAGCGATAGGAGCCCCCAGCCAACTCCCCCCAGTTTCTATACTGCCCACGACGCCGTATGGTATGGAATGGCCCTTGGGGCAGTTTGGGTCAACTCTTCTGGCTGTGCCAGCTTCTTGTGCACCCGGCAGAGCATGGGGAGCTGAAAAGTCCTTGACCAGTGTAAGCACTGCTTAGCAACAACTAAACCATCTGTGTGTTAGCAGCACTATTCTCAAACTAAATCTAAACCACAGCACTACACCAGCTACTAGGAAGACAATTAACTCTATCCCAGCCAAAACCAGGACAGTGACAGATGCTGGGCCTTGGGAGAGGAAGAGCAGAGGGGCTCCTGCAGCCCAAACTGGGGGGCGAGCAGATATCTCTGCACTGGGGAGCACTGGCACCACGTGCCTGCTGCAGGCGCAGGCGGGGAGCAGCAGGGAGATAATTTCCAATAATCTGATACTCTGCAGGGTGAGGTTTAGGGATTAGCCACAATGCCAACAGGGATCTGGGACAAGCCTTGCGGGGGTGATGGGCATGGACCAGAACCAGCTCCCGCTGTCCCTACCAGCTGAGACCCCCCTTTCCCAGGGTTGGGGTCCCCGTGGCCAGGAGAGGTGCCCAGAGCATGGACGTTTTTGTGGGCAACAGATCTGATTGCATCAAGTTGGAGGCACTGCAATGGCTTTTAACAGCCCAGGAGGGCACTTAGCAGCAGTGACACCTTGGGTGACCGAGGGTCCCTGGCACTGACTCACCACCGCTCTCCACCCTTGGTGGGGTAGGCTGCCTCCCGTCTGAGCTGGTCCATCCTCGAGCCTCTGTACAGCGTGAGATACACACAGCGCCTTCCCCTGGACCAGCCCCAAACACCCACGCACTGCTCTGCTGATACACCTGATTCACCTGCCACGCTCCTCGGCATCCGCTGCTCCACTCGCCCTGCTCTCAGGGACGTGGGCTGAACTCCTCAGCATCCTTCTGCCGGGGCGGCACGATGGAGGTGGTCCTGCTCCACGGGCTGCTGCTCCTCTTCCCCGTGGCAGCCCTGCTGCTTTACCGGTACAATGCCACCTTCCACTACTTCTGCAAGGTGGCCTTCTTCAACTGCTGGATTGTGGCCATGGCCACCCTCCTGTCCCCCTTTGCAGCTTTTCGGGGACGCTCCGTGGAGAACATGAAGTGAGTACCACCTGGGGTTGTGCTTCTGATGGGGAGATGGCTGGGGCTTGGCTGCAGTGGAGGAGCTCATGTGGTCTTGTGGACACATGCGCTCTCTCCTGCTCTGGGCATACCCACGGCTGTGTTACGGCCGGTGGTTGAGCCCTGAGGCCAAAGCAAGGGCTGTGGTCATGTCCGTGTGGCAATGAAGGGTGCATCTGCATCTTGCGGTGTGGTGAAGAGGTGCTGGCCATGCCCAGGGAAGGTAATGCCACGATGGAGGTGGCCAGCTGGGTCAGGACTAGTGGTCCTGGGAGGATGAAGTAGCGTAAAAGGGAACATTCTTGGCCATCGCAACATTGGGGTTATCAGCTGGGTGGGTGATGGGGGGGTTTGGCAAAGGTTGGAGGTACAATCATAGAGTCATAGAATCATAGAATCGTCTAAGTTGGAAAAAACCTTTA